AAAAACTTAATAGGCAGCCACGATCTTATCTCAAATCTTTCACCAGAATATGTGAAATTAAGTCCTATGCCATTTAAATTTTGTCCTGATTTCTACTCAAATGTTTAAATCTAAGATATTAACATTTTCATGAAACTAATGATTTATTATGATGGAAACAAATCTGCACTGATGGTAAAAGATGTGTGGTTTTCAGAATATCACATTTTTTTTTGTTTGTTTCTCTTTGCATTGATAAAGCTTTTGCTATTTTGTGTTTTTTTTGGCAGACCCTGAATATGGGAAGAAATGGGCATAAATAAGAAGGTAAGGAGATAGTTTTGCATGAAAAAATGTGTGTATTATGTGGGTTGGTCAAAACAGGTGCAGGTGTGGCTAAGTTAAGAGCAAAGCTGCTTCAAGAGAAATGTAAGTGGTAATAAAATGTACGATGTTTGAAGTGGCTTAAAATAAGAATACCAAATGAATACACTCCATCAGTATAATAAAAGACATATTTTTAAGTGAGCAATAATTCGTAAAAAGCCCAGAAGCCTACATGCTGAAAGCAGAAGAAAACTGAACTCAACAAGGACTACAAAGAACTAATAGTGTCCGTTACTACAAGCTCATGGCTTTCCCAACTAGAGCGATTGTTCCCCTTCTTGCTAAAGGACAGAAAGATTTCCCAAGTCTTGAAAAGTATCCCACCAAAGACTGCACACTATAACACTATAAATTTTGTTTGAAAATGACATTTTTGTGTTCTCTGCTTAACAAGTCAAGCTGTCCCTGCTTTTAGCCTGTGTTTCAACACGAGAATTGCACTTCCCTATCCTCCCTGCATCACTGAGTTTCTGTTTTGGAGGAGGTAAGTCCCTCCTTGCGGGAACTGTGAGGCCTGTGGCACAGCCCCTTCTAATGACTGCCCTCCCACCTCTCACACATGTCACGTCCCCATCCCTGCTCCCTTCAAGCCGGCCTTCATTTAACTGTCCCAGTATCCCTATTTAAAGTGTGAAATACCATCAAAATGGACAATTAGGTGAAAAATTCTATGTTTTACTGTTCAGTGAAGGGTAGTGATCTATTGATCTACATTAATATGTATCTAATAGATTCTTCTTCACTTATTAATAATGATTTATGCAGGTCAAACCCATGCGCTTAAAACTACTGCAATAATTCATTAACCCATTCTGTTTGGGACTATTAACACTTGCTATAACAGGGCCTTGAATACGGCCTTAAAGCATTATATAGCCCTAGACTTCATTGGGGCTTTGCATGCAAACTCCATTTGGGCAGTTTCCCAGCTGGGTCATCTCAGGGGACTCATGTCTATTCCTCAGGCACTGTTTGGAGTAGACACTCCTGTTCATTCATTTCTTTAATTTGCTAGGTCCGTCATAGAACACCCTGTTCTATCCTATGCCTTCTCCTAATCTAATATAGGACGGGCCTGGGCAGGGTCTGCCTTAGTGTGACTGGCAATGTCAAGGAGAAGCAATTTGAAGAAAGATTAGTTAAAATGCTGAAGCAACTTTTCTTTCCTCCCTACCAAAGGATCTGAAGGACTAATGTCCTTGAGAGTGATATGAAAGTCCAGTGCCAAACATCCAAGCTTTATATTCATATTTTCAGCAAAATACCCAGGATATAATGTTAATTTTCCCCTTGAGACATAGGCAGATATTCATTTAGTAATTTCTGTAAGTAAATATCCATTCTACCCATCCTTATCCATGCTGTTTCTGACACTGCCCTTCAAAAACACACATCCGATCATACCATTCTCTTCCTTTAAGATTTGATGTCTCCCTTTTGTAGTAGCTTTAAAACTATAGGAGTGGGAGATAGAAACCAAAGAGTCGGCTTTATTTCTCTTTTGCTTTCTCTTTTCTTTTTTTCTTTTGTAAGACTTACTTTGAACAAATTAAACAGACTACTACTAATTATTATTAATTGCATACCTTTACATGACAAACAGCCCCCTTCATGATTTTTGTCCAGGTGGTCTTTCCGTACTTACTCTCTTCCCTTCCAACTCATCCCAGGCAACTGGCTGTCCAGAATATACCATTTCCCTCCAAAACCCCATTTCTTTGTGTGTGCTAGATCACTTGCCTGGACCATGTCCTTCCCAATCTCTGCCAAGTGAACTGTAAGTCCCCAAGAACTGAGGCCCCTACTTTGTGATCCCACAGAATTTTGTAATTGTTTGTCATATATTTGTCTTTCATTTTCTTTCTTGATAGAATGGTCCATATAATATCTCTAAATTTCAAAAATACAGCACTACCCTGGCACATAGTAGGCATTCAATAAACTCTTGATGAATGAATACATGAAAATAAATAAATGAATCTATTAGTATTTTTTAATTGTTTTCTTAATTCCTAAACTTGGCATTTTTTTTTACAAAGTCTAGATGGATATAGAAAGATAAAGTAAAATGGGAAGAAACATTTTAACTCTATATTTCTCTTTGCTTCCTAATGCAAAGCATCTGTAGAAAACTTCAATACAACTCTATGCTTGCTTGAGAAATATATATGAGGAGTAATATTTTGTGTACTTGACACAAAATAACAGGACAAGAAGTCACGAATGGAAACTACAACCCAAGCAGAAGGAACAGCTCCTGGAGTTCTCAGGAGAAACAGGCTGATAGGGAAGCAGTCTTGGGACCCAACCTTATTTTTTTAGAATAGGTAACTGGCAACATGGTTCAGTATCGTTCATCTCCTACTCAGTTACAGACCCTGTTGGTGCATTCTTTTCTCTATCCTCAATTCCACTCTAACCTTGGAGCTCTGATTTTTGTCTCTTACTTCTTTTGAGAATTTACCCTTCATGGTCTGTGCCCTGGCTACTTGGTCTGAAAAACGTCTCCATGATCTCTACCCTAAACCAGATAAAATAGAGAAAAAAGAGACTCTTAAAATTTTTTAGCATCCAAATCCAAATTGTGACTTTTGAATGCATTCTCTCATGGGAATGTACCTTCTTTTTGTTTAAAGTCCACAGATTATTCCATCATTAAGCTGCCTGTGTAGGCTGATCTGGGGAACCTATCTCAGATGATTTAATTTCTCTGGGAAAATACATTTTTGGTAACTTTTTAGTTAGATAAAATGCCAAATGTATAGAAAAGTTGCAGGAAAGCACAAGGAACTCTGCTCAGCTTTTTACTGTGATTATGTCCAGTTCCCCCATTTGTTGTGTATGTGTGCAGGTTTGTGTATACTAATACATCACACGCATATGGAAAGTACTTTTTGAATTCTAATTAAGTTATAAACTTTTAGGTAACAAATTATTACCAAATTGAGGTCTGCTTAAATATTGATGAAGATCATATTCTATTTTATGCTTTTTAATTTTCTTTAATTTCTATCATTTTCCTATAATAAGGGTTTAGTTCCAGGAAGAAAAATGTATTTACATCTTTATTTTCCTTGTAAATACTTATTTAACTTCATAAAATTATAAGACTGTAACCCTATTTTCCCAAGGCTTATGGTACTCTCCAATAGTAGGGTGGGTGTTGAATGAGACACATTCAGTTCTATTCTTCACTAGGGTAACACTTAGTAAATAGTAATCATCGTAGCATCTATAGTGGTACCCTTGGTTACTGGAGGTCAATCAGCAATGACTTTTTATTCCTGACATCACCATGGGCTTAGCCTGAGGACTAATGGAGATAGTTAAAGAACTTTTAAGCTGAGTTACTTCTCAGAACCCCAAATAAGAGTTCAGCATATCTGTGGCTCTGCTAATACTGATTTTAAAACTATAAAGTTCATCTTTTTCTTGTTTTAAAGTTGAACTCTTTTTCAAATCAAATCCTTGTCCCAAACAAAACTCTGTAGACTTTTTAGTTTAATAGAGAATTTAGACTGACATCATTTTTTAAAAAAAATTCAAGCTCCAGAAAAATGTTTAGAAATTGCCATAATGAAATCACTACATCATTTTCTTCATCAATACTAACAATCTCTTTTAAAAATGGCATTGAAATATTTTAGCTAGAATTAAAATCTTCATGTACATATACTTAATGAGACAAAAACTTGATTCTTAGTACATACACATACACCAAAATGTTCAATACAGATACTTTAAAAAATGAGCTATCAATAAAAAGAACAAGTTTTACTTTTTACTTTTGAACTTAGATTTTTTTCTTGCAACTTTATATGGCCCAGCATGGCAATGAAAACTGTCTGCTGAAGTAGGTCCAAATTACTCCAAGTGTGTGTGTATATGTGCACGTGTGCAAATGTCTCACTACTGTACTTTATGGGTCCTCTGGGAGCTTACTTTACTCCCATGGTGCTTATGGCCAAATTAAATCGAATGATATTATTGCATTTTAATACAGGTTATAAACCTCTTTTATCCTGAATATTTTGCTATTATGATACTAAAATGCTAATATGAATTAAAATAGCCTTTACCATATATAGAATAAAAAACAATGTCAAACAAAAAGAAATATTTATTGTTATGACACATAGTGTTATGGAGAATATTTTGAACTTCAAGAACTAAAAATAATCTTTGATATTTACAGAAGAACTATTTTATATTCATATTGCATCTAACCCCTAATTGCTTCTTTTCTAAAAAGGAAGAAAGTGCAACAGAGAGAAAAAATCTCAGCCTGTTTTCCTATATAAGCTAAACAGTTAAATGAAAAAATGTAATAAAATGCAGAGTTGAAAGGTTGAAAGAATTTATGATATCAAAGAATGTAATTTCTATTCAAAAGCTTTTTTAAGGCAACACTATCACAAACACACTTTAATAACTGTGGCATTCCACCAGGGCACAAGATTGCAGGTGACTCCATCACTCTGTACAGTTGACTACAATTATCTGATATATGTACAATGTGCTGAATTTTGAGTACGGGTTGTAAATGATGGTTATATAACAGAAATATCCCCCAAAATGTTACCTTTTGAGGTTTCTTAAAAAAAAAAAAACTGAAGAGTATTGACGAGTATTTAAGCAGAAGAGTATTGAATTGAATACACTTTTGTCATGTTAAATGGGAGAACCAGTAGATTGTGACTTAGCTCCTGAAATTTTAATACTGCTCTTTAGCCATCTGCAGTCCTAAAGTGCTTCCAGAGGTTCTACACATCCTTGAAGGAGTCAAACCCCAAAGACTAATGAACAGGTATACAGTCTGCTAATCTATTCCTGATGCTTTGCCTAAAAAATTGGCATTGCCATCTTCAACATCTCTTTTTTGGAACCATGGTTTTGAATTTGTTCCTTGTTGATAAGCATCTAGAAAATGACAGATTCCAGGAATTTCACTGGGGAAGTTTGGTGGAAGTTCTTCCCTTGATCGAGGGGTAAACACAAAACCAGGACAGTCTTTGAGTAATCTGAAAAGATTAAAATAAAAATATTTAAATTTAACACTGGCATAAATGTCCACTGAAGAAAAGAAGACAACATAAATACATGAATATTACTGAGAATATTAATAAACCAGCCATTTTAGGTGTTATTGACAAAAGCAGTCTAGTGACATTAACAGACATCTTCACAGAAGTACAATGAGGAGTAAATTCACAATAACAAGAAAATTCTATTAACTAATGTATTGCACTCCTGTTGGAAAAAGTAAATAATTATAAAATATCTTTGCAAAGACATAATCTATATAACAGTGCAATTCACAATAGTGAAAAAAAAACCAAAATAATCCAAAGGTCTAATAATAGCAAAAAATCCACACATAACTATAATGGTATTGAATAAGGCTTCTTGAGTTGAAAGAGATAAGACATTGTCCGTTTATCAATTCATTAATTGTGTAAATATTATTGAGAAGTAATCATGGGCAAGAAATTGTGAAAGAAAAGTAAAATGATAAAAGTGATGTGAGAACAATATTTGAATCTTCCAAAAGAATTTTTATGAATTCTAGATTAGTAGGACTCAAATGATATTTAATTGTAAACACCAGCACTCTACTTACTGATTGTTATTAGCATCATTTTTTCTTCTTAAATTTACCTGTTCTACCAAATTTTATTATTTATTATTTACTACTTGCTCATTATGCTAAACATATTTTAATTTCTAATTTTACTGATTAAGTTACTGGCACCTCTTCCCATTTGCTTTCCTAGCTTTCTCCCAAATGCAAACTTAATAAACATTCTCTCTAAACTACTACATTCTCTCTACTACTCAGGCCATGGATGAAAAATGTTGAATAGTCATGGGCTCTTAACCAACTTCTACAGAAAATCATTTATCATATCTGCTCAGTCAGACCAGGGCCTTCTACTTACCAGTCTGTGATGTCATGTCTAAATGACATAGAATGATGTTGCAGAATTAGATTTTGGTACTGTGACAATTTCTATGGGCTGAAGAAACCAATTGAATAGAAATCTATGTCTCAAGAATCTCGTACCTCGAGTAGAATACAACATGGTATTCTATTAACTAATTTTTACTGGTATATCAATGAATGTGTAATGTGCAAAATATTAAAACTAATGAAAATCCTAAGCTTTTTAAAGAAACTTAACAAACACAATTAGAATGTTATGGAGTTAGAAATGTTCATAAAATCATCTTTTATAAAATCATAATTTACAAGAAAGACAGCTTAGAAAAATAAAACCATTTAGATGAAAGCTCAATGACCATAACACCAAGAAAGGCAGCAAGATTCTAGATGTCCTCATATGGTGCACATTTTCTCTATTCCCTCTTGATCAGACACCATTTCCCCCAAATTACTACATCAAATCTCCTGTTTTCAGTTATGTCTCCTATATTCCTTTATTCACTTTGTTCTTTCTTCTTATAAAATTCAAGTCCTGGTTCTCCAGCACTATGTTCTCAGACATCTACAAATAAGAGTTTCTAGGTCTATTTGCCACCCTCCACTGGGCAGCATTCATGTATACTCTCCACCTGCCATTTTTGTTTTTATTGATCCCTGAATCATCACATAAGCCTCTATCATTAATCCAATGCCTTGAAACATTAGCAATATATAATGTAGTGTTTACTTGTTTTCCTTACTTCAAAAAAAAGCAAACAGAAATACAGAATACTGTCCCCTGAAATAAAAGTAAAACATCTTACAACATTTAAAAGAAAAGAATGCATAATTGTCATTACAATCCTACATTCTAAATCACCGATTAGAATTCGGAAGTGGAAATTTGAAGGTAAGGATTTATTTTTGGTGCGGGTATGTATTCTGTGTCCTAAATTTACATAGGTTTCATAAATATATTGAGGAAGCCACATTTAATGTTAAACATT